CTTAGACCTAGTCAGGTTTTAGAGTGAGGAACAGATCCGGATACAGAGCAGAAGTTGAGCCCTCGTAACGAGGCCTCCGGTACGGGTAACAGAGTGCAGACAAATATAAGTTCCATAAGGAACCTCCAATACTGGGCAGCTAACATATACCACATAATATTAAGAGTCACGAATACATATCAGAGGTTGACCCCTTAATCAGTATACAACATATAGCATTTCAGAAAACAAAACTTATTTTGTGACACAGAACATGAATACAGTTGCACACAGTGGTAATCACACTACTTATATCAAGTACTTATCGGGGTTATAGATTGCACTGGCCTCATTTCATAAGTAATTTCCCCCGTTAAGTTACAGAGATTCAATTCATTCACTTCTGAGTCATTCATCCGGTCTTTGTTCAATTTGTCCTTAATTCGGTAATCCATCACAGTCAGTCCAGTTCATTTGGGAGTTATTGGAAACATAAGGCGAATTTGTACATTACTCCCATTACAGTAGGCAAGGTTTTGAAGTAATCATTCACATACTATCCATCAGTTTCAGTTCTCACAGATTCGATCATACTATGTATCAATACGGAAACAGTCATACTGATTTCATATACTTCCAGATAGTGAGGGTTTATAATCAAAACTAGTTTGCTGTCAACAAATCCCATCAGTTCTGAAGTACGGTAATCGCCAAAACAATCATTCCCTAATCAAACAAGTTCATAGTTATACGGTAATACCGGGTGATTAATCACATGGCAGGCACCCAGTTTTCCCCATATTGGAAGCAAATCAGGTAATAGCTCTCAATAAGAGTTTTCTCAAGTCGATGAAAGTTCGACTAGGTCATTTCAGATGCAAGTTCTGTCCAATCATAATAAATAAGACTTCGAAGCACAAGCATCAAACAGAAGTTCTATTGGTTACACAAAGGATTTCATCAACCCGCGGTTCTATCAGATCAGATCAGGTAGCAGTTCCATTCTTATCATTTCCAGGTGAGGTACAGAAGTTCATACTCCAGTCATTTCAGTACATAGTCAGTAGTTTCGCAATTAGTCTGAATCCATTTATTGTCAATCTTACATCAGGGTCTGGTATCATTATAATTCATATCGAAGCAGTACAAGTCATATACAACGTGTTCCTCCCATTAAGTTTACAGGCAATGCAATTAGTCGCATCGAGAGGTAAACATCACGGTCAGTATAGCAACTTCCAAATAAATCCTTCTTATAGGCATATGGCATACAGTAATACATTACGCGAGATTCTCGGACACATAATAGGGAGTTGCCCTACGAGGGTTCCAAATCAGTCATACAGTCACTAGAGCATAGGCTCGCAGGTCTATTCCAACAGTCATGTCAATTTTCCACGATCACGATTCACAGTCAAGAGTTTATTCGTCGGGGTCTTTATTCAGTCACACAATTCTGGAGTCATAGTCCCAACGGTTAAGTTATCAACAAATTATATACCAATCAGTTCGAGCAAAGGTACAGTCATAAGTCTACCCAGTCTAGTAACATTCTTAAGCAAAGGTATGCGAACATGTACATGAGTCCAAACAGTTTTCATAGCATAGGTAATTGTTAACATAAGGCATTACGGTGTTGTACATAGTCCACATCAAATAGTAAAGAAAGATTCATTAACCACAGTCCATACCTGACAGTCCTAATAGTATCACAAGCATGGGTGTAGGCCCCACATCTAGAGTCTAAAACTCAGACCCTGCAGCATTTACATCGGCGACTCCTTTTGCCTGTTTGTCGATGGGAGCTCAAATCGGCAAGGAGCGGGGGCAGGAGTAGTGTTAATATCTCCTGATGGGGAGATATTGGAACGGTCTATTCGATTAGGGTTCAAGGCCTCAAACAATGAGGCAGAATACGAAGCATTGATTGCAGGACTAAAGCTTGCAGTGGCAGCAGAAGCAGATAAGGTAATAATTTTTTGTGATTCACAACTTATAGTAAATCAAACAACAGGAGAGTTTGCAACCCGAGATGAGAGGATGTCGGCATACGCAAAGGAAGTCATCAGGCTGGCAGCCTTGTTTCGCAACTGCCGACTTCTTCAGGTCAGCCGAGATGATAACAACCAATGACGTGGAAGTCCTAGAAGATATCGGAGTTCAATACAAACTGGAAAAACAAGGACAATAATGGTTGACTATTTGTCAAACCCGAGCATAGAACCACCGATCACAGAACAAGAAGTAATGTGTGTGGACTTGGGACCAAGCTGGATGGATGCGATTATTGCATTCCTAAAAGAGGGAAAGCTGCCAGAAAACCATAAGGAAGCACGTAAGGTTAGATTGAAGTTGGCAAGATTCAATCTGACAGTGAACGAACATCTCTACAGAAGGTCCTTCACTGGACCCCTTTTAAGGTGCGTACACCCTTTGCAGGTTGAAGATTTTTTATATGAAATTCATGAAGGGGTTTGTGGAAGCCACGCTGGGGGCAGATTACTAGCTCACAGGGCCATTACCCAAGGATATTGGTGGCCCTACATGCAAAAAGATGCAGAAGCCTACGTGAAAAAGTGTGAACAATGCCAAAGGTTCGCACCTTTGATACACCAGCCAGCTGCTGACCTGAACCCTGTATCCAATCCATGGCCATTTGCCCAATGGGACATGGATCTCATTGGGCAGTTGCCTCAAGCAACTGGGCAAAGGAAGTACTTGCTGGTAGCAACAGATTACTTCACAAAGTGGATAGAAGCAGAACCTCTTGCCAAAATCCGAGATGTGGACGTCAAGAACTTCATATAGAGAAACATCATCACCAGATTTGGCATTCCAAGAGCAATAGTTGCCGACAACGGAACATAGTTTGACAGCAAACTCATCAAGAACTTCTGTGTGAAATTCAAGATAAAGAATTACTTTCAATACCAAGTTTTTCCCAAAACAATGGGCAAGCAGAAGCATCCAACAAAGTAATTTTAGATGGGATAAAGAAGAGACTGCAGGCAGCAAAAGGAAAGTGGGTAGACGAGTTGCCCAATGTACTCTAGGCATATCGGACTACGCCGAGAAGATCAACAGGGGAATCCCCTTTTGCCATGGCTTACGGCACAGAAGCAGTCATTTCGCTGGAGGTCGGCATCCCAGGGATCAGAACCCAAGGAGTTGATAACGGGAAAAATGATATACTCTTAGCCCGAGATCTGGATCTTTTAGAAGAAAGAAGATAGAAGGCTGCCATACAGCTCGTAGCATACCAGCAGCAGCTTGTTAGAGCTTATAATAAGAAGGTCAATCCAAGGGAGTTTCAAGTCGGCGACTTAGTATTGAGAAAAGTCGTCGGCAACAAGAAGGATCCCAGGGAGGGCAAGCTTGGCCCAAACTGGGAAGGACCCTACAGAATTACTTCGGTATTGGGCAATGGAGCATACCGGCTTAAAGATAATGAGGGCAAAGCATTGCCAAGACCCTGGAACACTTGTAATTTGAAATTTTTCTATCATTAGATGTTCCTTGTTATTTTTTACCGACGTCATCAATAAAATTTTAGCAGAGTTCTCCAAAGACTTATGAATTGATAAAAGATGCATAATGTTGTTTCTGAATAATGAGAACCCAAGTGGAACTAAGGTTCACATTGGGGGCAGAGAGAAGACCAAAAATTGCTTAACGCTTGTTGAAATTTGTAGCAATTTTACAAGTTGAAGTTAAGCCAGATAATTGTTTATCTTCACTTGTTGAAATTTGTAGCAATTTACAAGTTGAAGTTAAGCCGAGATAATTGTTATCTTCACTTGTTGAAATTTGTAGCAATTTACAAGTTGAAGTTAAACCAAAGTAATGCTTAACGCTTGTTGAAATTTGTAGCAATTTACAAGTTGAAGTTAAGCCGAGATAATTGTTTATCTTCACTTGTTGAAATTTGTAGCAATTTACAAGTTGAAGTTAAACCGAATAATGCTTAACGCTTGTTGAAATTTGTAGCAATTTACAAGTTGAAGTTAAGCCGAGATAATTGTTTATCTTCACTTATTGAAATTTGTAGCAATTTACAAGTTGAAGTTAAACCGAAGTAATGCTTAACGCTTGTTAAAATTTATAGCAATTTACAAGTTGAAGTTAAGCTGAGTAATTGTTTATCTTACTTGTTGAAATTTGGCAATTACAAGGTGAAGTTAAGCCGAATAAAGTGTTATCTTCACTTATTGAAATTTGTGGCAATTACAAGTTGAAGTTAAATCAGAGTAATGCTTAACACTTGTTGAAATTTGTAGCAATTTACAAGTTGAAGTTAAGCCGACATATATTATTTAACACTTGTGAAAATTTGTAGCAATTTACAAGTAGACCACTGTTTGACACTTTTATAACTTAAGAAAAGTTTACGAAGTTGAGATTAAACTAGTATATGTTTATCCTTGTTGAAATTTATAAACAATTTACAGGACAAGTACTTGCCGAAGTAAATCGTCAGGTGGCATAACCGAGGTGTGTCACCCCGAGAAGATTGCACAAAGAAGGAAGAGTACATAAGACATGCAAAATATTCTAAGTATATAATCATGCAAGAGCAGTTAGAAGAAGACAAAGATACAAGCATTCACTGAAGGAAAGTTGTGTTAAGCATTTAGTTAGAACAGGGGCACATCGGCCATATGAAAAAGCTTACATTGTCTAAGGAAACAAAATAGTACAAAAGACAAGACAGGAAAAACATGAAAATTAAGCTTCATCAGCATCAACAGCAACTTGGGTTTGGACCTCGGAAGGATCTGAAAGAGCTACCTCGGCCGCCTTCTCCGCCGCGATCTCGGCATCAATCTGGGCAAGGGTTTCATCAATGCTTTTTTCGGCTACAGGAACATCGGAGGATGCCTGCTCCGGGGTAGTTTCCTTGACAACTCCATCGCCCTCTCCATCTTGAGTCAAGTCCAGGACTTGCTCAGTTGAAGGAAGGGATTTGGACACAGTAGCCTCTTTTTTCCCTTTTCTCACCAAGGCATCGTCCTCTTCCTCATCACCATCTTCAGACTCAGATTTGCCGATGTCTTGACTTGAAGATTGAGCTGGAGGGAATGGAAGAGGGATGGCATCGGCTTTCCTCAATGGTGAGTCCTTAGGAACATTGAGTTTTTTCAGAAGAGACATCCAACCAAGGGTGAAACCCTTGTTGCATGCCTGTTTCACTTGAAGTTCATAGGCCTCAGTAACGTCGGTCATGCCTTGAGTATACGCCTTTTCATCAGTTTCTTTTATTTCGGCGTCCTTAGTGGCCAGGGCCTCCTGAAGCTCCTTTTCAGCCTGGGCCATTCTTTCCTCGGCTTCTCTCTTCTGAGATTCAACCACTTTTCTAATAGCCTTAGCAGCCTCAGCCTTCTCTTCAACATTGTTCTGAGCTTTGACTGCAGCCTCGGCTTGGTCCTCCAATTTTTTCATCTTTGATTGTAAGCCTTTGTTAGTCTTTTGGAGGGAAGAGAACTCCCTCTTCATCTCGACAAGCCTCTCCCGATTCTCAAAAGACTGCATTGAAAAAGAGTGGGCATGCTGAATGGCCTGAAAAAAAAATAGAGGTATTAGAGAATATTCAAAGTATGAAATAAAAAGAAAGAAAGAAGAAAATTACCAAAAGGAAGACATTTACCTGAACGGAGTGCTGAAGCATTAGAGCATAGTTCTCGTACTCACTATACTGGGTGTTTCACTCCAGATCGCCTGGAAGAAGCAGAGCGGTACTGAGTGCGACGTCAACGTTTATATCATCGGCACTATCACTTGCCATGACAGGCTTGTCTTCCAAAGTAATTGTGGGGGCCCAGGGGGCATCGAGCTTTTTTGATCCCGAAGCTGTTGCAGAAGAAGACCTCGACTTTTTTGGTTGTTGGGATTCTGGTGGCTGAGACTCAGAGCGCCTCTTCCCAGCGGAAGGCTGAGATTTATCACTCTTAGCCAACTTTGAAATAGGCAGAGTGTCTTCAGACTCAACCTGAGCTACCTTGGTCTTTGGTTGAGCCTTTTTTATTCTTTTTGGCTTCGGTGGAGAAAGGGTTTGTGCAGGTTGATCGTCAACAGATGATGGAATACTGGCCAGAAGATCTTTTGCAACTGATTTTGGGAGGCCCATCTCGACAGTAAGGACAAGTCGTCGCCGATGTTTTCGTTCTGATATCGGGACCAAGTATGGAGCCAAGGTTGATGGCTGATCAGCTGGATCAGATGTTGATCTTTGATCTGTTCGTGATGTGGATACAGTCAATGGAGTTATAGCAGAGGGCGAAAGGCTTTTCTTCTTCCTTTTGGGAACGTCGGGCAAAGTTGACTTGTATGATGGAATAAAATTGAGAAGCACAGGCGCTTTCCTTTTATGGACTGGCAAGTCCAAAAGTTTCTTCAAGTCCTTGCTGGGGACAAAGGATTGCCGAAAATTTTTCGGTGGCTGGCGAACAGCTGTAAGAAGAATAGACGTCAGAAACAGACAAAGTATTTAAGACTTCGAAAGAAAACATGCAAAGATGAATACTGGTGTAGACGCGCCCGCGTGGGGCCCTCGCTACAGTTCGGACTCGATTAATTGTCACGGTTCTAAGTCTGAACCAAAGAGTCCAAATCTGGCAAATCGTTTTGAGAAACAGATTTTTTTGAAAAGAAGTGCCAAACATGGACTGCTTTGCCAAATACAGAGTCGCCACCTAAATATTTTAAAATGGGGAAATTTAGGAAACCCTGACTCGGTGCCGAAGGCCACATGTCCGTCATCACCGGAGTTGTCTCGGCTCGGGAGCTAGGGTACGATTGGGGAAGGTCAGCTATGAGCACCCCCTCTCGCCCGGTCCGAAGACCGGCCTCTACTAATCATGATATCCGTTTTCGAAAACTTTATGTGTTCTTATTCCGGTTATTAACCTAGAATTACTATGTTATGCGCACAGCAAACAAGTATAGACTAGATTGCCTAATTTGGAAACAAGCATTGCATATCCGTTTGTTTTGAAAAACGTTTTGGAATTTGCTACTCATAAGTAGGCTAAAACACGGATTTTAATGAATTTTTCCAACTCAAACAATCTAACCTTCACCCACAGGCATTCAAACAATTCATCATATAAGCATTTAGTCGCATGGCAAGCATACTGTCATGGCAACACTCACACGTATGCGGGATGCTAAAGCATAACTACTTACATCGTACTCCGTGCCAAAACAATAAACTAGTTAGCAAACATGCATGTCCTAGTTCATGTTAAGAATGGCTAATGCATCGCATGCAAAAATGCAATCTAGACAGGCTCGGCTAACCTAAACATAGCATGGAAATGCGATCAACTATCACATATTCAATTTTTGAATTGAAGTACAGATGCAGTTAGTATGATGTACCGAGCCTAATGCATGCAATACAAATGCATGTATGCACGCATGTATAGCATAAGGTATGCTAATTTTAAAAAATGCCCTAGTCTACCATCATAAGCAGGTAAATAAAAGGGAAGAAAGACGTGAGGCTGGGAGACATACACACACTCACGCACACTTATTACATAATTGTCCTCACTCGGAGGAACCAAATAAATATTACAGTCCAAATGATAAGCAAATAAAATTATTACAGAATTTCTAATTAGTTAATAGAAAGAATGCAAAAGAGAGAAGAGGATGGCCGCAGCCTCTGCCTCGGGACGCGCGAATGATGCATGCTCGGAACCCGGCTCGCCTGAAAAATCCGTACCATACCTCTGCTACCTCTTTTTACACTGCCCTGTCTCTCTGAAAAATGCCAAAGCCTTAGGACAGGTTCCTTGCATGCTGCAGAGTACCACCGGCTAGGGGGAATCCCCACCGGCAGTCCAGGATTTCCATCGGCTGTCCTTGGATTTGTCGACTGTTCAAAGATTGCCGGTCGGCACTTAATTCTGCCGGTCGGCAGAAGCTTCCTGCAGAAGACAGTTTTGACAGCAACAGAGAACAGACAATATACGGTATGGGATTTTCAGGCACAT